TGGGCCAGGACGCAGTGTAAAGTTCTACCCTAACCCAACTTCACCGTACTCTCTGATGCATGAACGGATTCGATACTGAGATATGAGCTTACTTTAAAACTCCACTCCTCAACGCTCACCGGCTTATAGTCAATACAATGCTCCGACGAATCTTACTCGCTTCTGCGGCTGATGCGTCCCTTGTGAGACGACCTTTTCTGAGTGAGGCTACATCACATAGCAAAACATGCACCAATTTTACACCAAATAAAACGAAGTAAGTGGACTTAGGTCGTTGTAGAACATCCTCAAAAGAGCAACGGTGATGCGAGTTATTATCAATCTGCGCATGCTTGCTATACGGAACACAAAATGTGCGTCGGTACGAACGCATTTTTGTTCGGGTAGACTGGCAATGCCGGAGAAGGTCACCTTTTCCAGGGTATAGAAAGGGAAAGGGGCACAGATAAAAAGAGAGGAGAGAGAGAGAGCAAGAGGGAGAGAAAGAGAGAAAGAGAGAAAGAAAGAGAGAGAGAGAGAGAGAGAGAGAGAGAGAGAGAGAGAGAGAGAGAGAGAGAGAGAGAGAGAGATAGAGAGAGAAGAGAGAGAAGAGAGAGAGAGAGAGAAGAGAGAGATAAGAGAGAGAGAGAGAGAGAGAGAGGAGAGAGAGGAGAGAGAGAAGAGAGAGAAGAGAGAAGAAGAGAGAAGAGAGAGAGAAGAGAGAGAGGAGAGAGAAGAGAGATAGAGAGATAGAGAGAGAGAGAGAGAAGAGGAGAGAGAGAAGAGAGAGTAGAGAGAGAGAGAGAGAGAGAGAGAGAGACGCACCGAAACGAAACTAGTCCTAAGAAGCAAAGGACCGTCGAAAGTATTCTGATTATGTATAGGGAACATTACTTATGAAAGGCAGTCTCGCTGTCAATAAAAAGTAAGAGAGGAGGGACAGTGGACAGCGAGTGTATAAAGCGCCGTGTAGCCCGTGCTCAGGGCTCCTCGAGATCGGCATTCTTTACGAAAATACGATGTGTACGACCATACTTGTATGCGTTGAACCCGTATGCATTGAACACACATGCAACATTTCTTTACACCGGTGTTGCAGCACATGCATGTGCTAATTCACAGCTGATATGTCGCATATCTTACCCAACGGCAATGGGTGCCGTGCACCACATGAAAGAAGCGGATTGCTTAGAAACTTGAGCGTGTAGTCGCAGTCCCAAACCATATAATTATCTGGCAGGTGACAATTAGTCATCACTTAGAGGGGAAAGGGCGAAACATCTTATGTCCGTGTAATCAAAGTGTCAAGTGTTTTACTTTACCAGCGTGTTCCAGGACCACGGCTACTACACAACGTGCTACCTTTTCAACAGCCCGGTCAGCGGATTTCAAAGAACCCATAACCGGAACGCGACAAAGTTATCACCGCACTGGAAATTTATTCAGAGTGCCACAAAAACCACGCGGACAATGGGCGCTAATTATCCGCTATTCACATGCTGTGAAGGCGCCTGGAGGGCCCCGCCGACCGGTCGGTCTGCTTTACGACACCGACCGCCGGCACTCATCTGTCGGCGCTCCAGCACACAACTGGCGTCTTCAAATTAGTAGTCGCGACTTATCACAGCCCCTGCACGCACAATGGCGCGAGTGAGACGTAGCCGCCGCAATGTCTCGCGCGGCGCTCAGACGCGCCGGGCTTGCCGCAGCCGGCCACGCTCGGTCGCTGCTCGGCGCGGCGAACCGGTCATGGCGCCCCCCGGGTCGAAGCGGCAGACAGCTGGTGGCTCAGCTGACGACGCGGCGGTGGCGGCGCGACGGTGGCGGCGCGGCGCGGCGCGGAACCACCGCCCACCCTGCCCCGGCACTGGACAGGCAACCCTACCCCACCATCGGTTGATAGGAGGCGACACGCGTTAACTTTACCGCTGCGTTTGGAAGGCGCTGTGGTCAGCCTCAACAGCGGTAAATTATTCAACCTTTGCAAAAAAAGCAAACATGAAAGTGGAATTATGGTTTGTAAGCAGCGTATCGCAAAAAGCAGCCGTGCACAATTCTCGGAACAAAGTCTACCAGAAAAAATGTGTTCTCTGATCCGAGCCAAGCCACTCCCAGCGGCGTTTCCTCTCGACGTGCACGTTCAATACGCGACCGCAAATGTCGCCGAGCCGCTATGTCCGAGCGCTAAGCCGCCGTGTCCAAGTCTGCAGCCGAGCCGGTGGTGCCGCGTCGTGCCGCCTCCTCCCCACCCGCCCCCGGCGAACCGGCTCGGCGGCCGGCACGCGGCGTCGGCGGCCGCTGCGTCCGCCATTTTACAGCTGACCGCCGGGGCGCGCGGTGCGCCGCCGCCACCCGGCACGCACTCGGCGCTGCCGCTTGCGCCGTTTATCATCATTAAACGGGATGCGCCGATCTGCTTCCGGACAGCGTGTCGCCGCGTCATGGCGGCGACAAAAACGGCGCGACACGGAGGGGGGGGGGGGGGCGGGACGGTCACGGCGCGGCCGGGACGAGCGGCGCCACCGAGGGCCCCGCCCTGCCTGGCTGCGGACCGTGGGACCTCGTTAGGCCAGCCACCAGAGGGCACCACCAGGTGGCATTTCCGCGTCTGCGTGCGCTGTTTTGCCCTTTGTCATATGAAGAGAAATGACCTTGCAGTGACACCTAACCAGAACACCGGCCCAGCTGGAAACGGTTCGTGTTCAGGACCTTGCAGTGACACCTAACCAGAACACCGGCCCAGCTGGAAACGGTCTGTGTTCAGGACCTTGCAGTGACGCCTAACCAGAACACCGGCCCAGCTGGAAACGGTCTGTGTTCAGGTGTCATCTTGGCGAGCATTTGGCGAAGCATGCTGTTGGAGTATTAGCATTACAATTAATTGCGATTATCGGAAAGAGAAGCCACACTTTCTCACATCGTGGACCAATGACCTCTAGATGATCCCACCAGCCCTCTAATCCTGACTAACTTGCCTTCAGGCTTATTGGCTCACATGGATATGGTTGCCCCGCCCGCCTGTAGACATTTTTTTGGTCTCTTTATCGCAAAAAAGACGAATCCATCAGAAGTGCCGCAAGGTCGTTACCGGGGTCCGCGATTTAGAATCTCTGGCATTTCCTATTTAAAATGGTAACATAGCGCAACAACGTGCATTGCATACCAACTGAAAACTTTCTACTGGCAAATATTTCTCCCTGATGGCTATGAGACGCAACATTAGCTCCTGTCTCTCATCGCCCCATTTGTGGTACAGAGACCACTAGGATGTCAACAACACTTTTATTCAAGAATGTCGCAAGCTCCGCTCATGTGACATTCTTAGCTCTTAGTGCGACCCATCAAAGCTCCAAAATTCAACATATCTTATGAAAATCAACAATTTGATGAAAGGAGATAACGGCACCGATTTAGCCGGAAAAACTTTTCTCAGTTCAAGTGCTGGCATCCCTTGATTTCTGCAGCGCTTTAGTCTTCATCCAGTTATTGACCGACGTCGAATGCACGGCTCGAATCCTCGACAAAGGCTTGCATACAGACAACTAGCCACAGTGGTAGCCTGAATGCCTGTTAAAAAATATGTTGAATGCTGATGAAAAGACGTTACAAATATTTTTTGTTTCCACTGAGTTTTATTATAGCACCCAGGGCGCCCAGGTTTGAGCCTGGGTTGCGCTGGCCTTGATTGGTGGTAAGTACTGATTAGTTGCCAGCAATCTACCATCTTCTGCTCAGAGTACAATTTCATGCGTGGAATTCACTTGCTTGTCGTGTGCTATGCATGTTTGTGCTTTTCCTTGTGTGCTTTTAATCTGGTAGCTTGTTTTGACAGCGTTCAGAGTAAATGCTCCAAGTGCGGATGCAACAATGTCATAATTAATCATGAAATTTGTGCTGCTTGTGGCACAGGTGACCACTGAAAAGCCAGCACAGGTCCAAATGCATGGGTTCTTGGTGTAGTTCTTGTTGTCCCTGCTGTTCTCGTTGTTCCAGTCCTTCTTGTTCTTCTAATAAATTTCTGAGAGGAAGCTGTTCGCGGCTTCGTGTGCGCCGTTTGATATCATGATTGCTAATGACGTGTACCTACCGGTGATCCACATGGTAATGATAGGCTTAGCTGAAAATGTCCAGCTGCAGTTTCAGTTTCAGGTCGAATGAGTTTTTAACCCTCACTCTGATAGGAGGCCGATGTAACCCCTGTTAAGTCTTTTTTAGGATGCCTTTCCGGTATTTTGTGCAATCGCACCAGAATGTTAGAAGACTGGAGCATCCACTACATGTGCTTCGACATCAAAAACGTGCTCCCAGCTTTCATGGTTTCGGAGCAGCGGCGGTTTTTGAGGAACACTGCACGGCGATCTGCGGCCTGAGTTGGCGGGCGGACAGCAACCGACGATGCCGCGGAACGCGCGCGGCAGGCCGACGTTGTTACATTAAGGGTGTCATATATCATAAATGCTTGCTCAAAATATACATAACATGCACTTTTGTGCTCAAAATTAAACAAGAAACACGCTTGTTTAGGTTTTGTATCACAACAAGGTATGATCTCGTAGGTATGATGTCATAAAGCCCAAAAACTGCGATTTTGTGAAAATCCGACCTTTGACCTGCCATACTGGGCACAGCTATTGCCTAAAACCATAAAACTAAGAATAATTGCGAGATCTTATTTAGAACAATCCACCTGTCTTTCTTGCTAAGGTCTATCTTTTTTTAATTTGGAAGGGTCAGAGTTGTCCCATCACCTCCTACCCCTCCATCTCTACCAGACCACGTTCTAAAAAAACGGCGAATCAGGGCGAGGGTTGCCATATCGCATGCCAGTCTTGTCTTTCGTTGACGTCCTTATCGGCTGCGTTTATTTCTAGTGGCTCGAATTGGAATTTATGTGCCTCACATCGGTTGATGCACTCCGCATTGCACTGGAATATGCACAGGAGACGGGGTGAACCTGACAACTGCCAGCACAGATTGTAGGCTGGGGAAGCAGCAGACATGTTCTGTGAGCTCAAGCTTACCCGTAGTATTGCCGACTCCAGCGACTCGCCGTTTTTGACCTGGTCCTCGGTCAGCTGGTAGTCGTTCTTGCACACTTCCGAGAGGAAGCTGTCGGCGGCGTCGGCTGACTGTGGCCGCACAACGTATTGCTGTACCGCCACCACCTGCCGGAACACGAGCCGCTGATGAGCACGGCGTGTGGAGTGATGCAGACAGCGCACTGTCAAGGCATGAACAACTCAACAACCACCATGGGTTTGGCTTCTATGTCGGCCGTCAGTGGGCACTTGATTTACTAAGAAAAATCAAAGGAATAGCTCGACCTCTTTTCACGGTTTACATTATGAATACATGATTGAGCATACTTTCCAGTAGACGTGTACGAGATCTATGTGGAATAAAAATCGACGAATCATGTCAGGTAATAAATATTTGATTCAGCATCAAAGGAGAGCATTGCATCGTTAGAAACTACCACAGGGTTTGAACCTTAATAATTGAACAGTTCAACGAATTCCACGTGCTGTAGCGCCAGGGTCTGTAAAAGCTTGAAGTATAAATACAAGCCGTCTTTTCTAATAAATACTATTTATTTCGGTAGCATGTTGTCAGAAATGACTAATCAAATAGCAAGATGTTATCGACCAAGACATCAATGAACCAAGGCAAAGCTTCGTGTTCACACAGCGTGGAATAAACCAATGTAATCATCTATCACGATCCAGCTCGCAGCGATTTTCGCCGTAATTACTCATGATGTACCATGCGATTATTCCCTCCAGTACTTGCACAGCCAGTACGCACACCACTAGCGTATGTGCAACAAAGTTATCTACACGGAGATGTATTCTAAAATTGCAATCGAATTAAATGCAAAGTCACGCGGATCATCAATATCATGCCTGATGTCATTAGAACCTATAACATTATATATTATAATAGTTATATATTAATTAATTAATTAATTATATAATAATTATAATAATTACATAATTATATATTATATAACATTATATATATATAACATTATAAGGGGGTTATAATCCGTTTCGGTGCTTTCACGTTAATCAATCTGATTTGATAGTTGACTTGGTCACACTTCTCGTAATCCAAGCTCAGATTAAGAACGAGCAAAACTGTCAGAATTGAAAGCTAATAATTTGCACATTTTAAACAAGCTTTTTATTCCAGCCAAGATAACACCAAGATCGTTCCTATCAGAATCGATAAGAATCAAACAAGACTGAATCGAGCACAAGCCTGATTGAGTGCCATGCCTGTTCAAGCTCCGTGCATTCTCATCTTATCAGGATCTGACCCAATCCTTAGCTGACCACACCAGGACTCCACCTGTTCATTCACGGGTAAAGCATGCATTCCCTTACGCCAATTTGCTTTATCTATTTTCCTTTACTATTTCCCACTGCCCGATGCAGACTGACACTAACCCTTCGTCATCCCCCACCTGCTCCTTCTCATGTGTCGAAAATATTGGAAATGCACAATGATCACAAAACCCGAGCATTGTCGTGAACCGTTTTGTAAAAGCTTGCATATAGGGCAGTCCCTCTAAAACTGTCACACCAACAGACAAGATGGACTGCATTTACTTCATTTAAATATATGGATGGCGTCCATCGTGAGACACACGTTTACGGTGCAGACTATGTGTCAAGATGGAGCCCGAGCGTGGAAGCATCAGCTGTTGTACCCGCCCAGACAGGTGTTGTACATCCAAGGACTTCCCATGGTCTTCCAGTAATCTCGTGTTCAGATTAGCGGCAGTGCCCGTCCTATACCCATCCCCTCCGCCTCCCCATCCCTCCAGGAGTCCCTGTGATATGCATCACCGCCGACCCTGCTTCTATTTAAATTCCTTCCCGGGCCCATTATTTGCGCGTGCGTCCGGACGAGTCCACTTGCTCGGCCAAGGGAAGGCCGTGTGCGGAATGCTGCCAAGTTGGCCCCAGGCGAGGCGTTCGCCATGACTGCCGATCGGCTCCGTCCAAACAGGAGGGGAGGGGAGGGCAACGGTGTGGCCGGCTCCTCCGCGCTCTCAGCAGCGGGACGCTTCGGCTAGCACCCGGCACGCGAAAAACAGTATGAACGACGCTGGTCATGGGTGGGATGCTACCACAAATGCATGACTAACTCTGCACTATGCTTTTGGAAGACTCCGGTTCAAATCTCTGGGATGGCATGCTTGCGCAATATTTTAGCTGAATTTGTTGTCATGCCTCAAACATTATGACCGGTGAAAGATAATTTCCCTTAAGGCAGGATCTTCGAGCTCGGGTGAACCACGGATCGACAAGTACCTTGGTGTTCATTTTGATCATTGCGGAACTAATTAACTTGATCAGGACCCAATTTTGATGTATTTTGTAAGCCCCTCAGCCAAGTAGCAAATACGCAGGACTACCCAATCGACCAATAATCATTCAACAAATAACAAAAAGGCAAACAATACAACTCACACCAATACAAAAACATGATTATTTGGTCCATTTTCAAGATTCTGGACAGTGCAGTGTGCTTGAAACCTCAAATGTGGGATTACAAGGAACTAAACAAGCTTGCCAAGAAGGTATAGTGGCAGAAGAGTCATCACCCATTGTTTGATTTCAACTGAAGGCCAAGAAGGCATTCGTGGTTGATGTTCTGTACCAATGTGATCAGTCTATGATGCTCTTTTAAGGGGAGTATGGTTAAAAAGCACACGCCACATTGTCTGCAAGGGATCTGCTAGTATGTACTTAACAACACCTTAAGTCGCATCGGTGTACTTCAAAATTTGCGTACGCCGACGGCGATTTCCATTGGGCCGGACCGCATCCGCACCCGGGGGCTGCCGGCCGACCTAGACAGCGGGCGCCGAGGACTGGTTCGGCGAAGCGGTCGGGTCGGCGGCCAGTGTTATGTTGTTGTGCGCGTCGGCCGGCCGTGCGGTCGCCGGCGGCTGGAGCCGGCGGCCGCTAATCGCCGTCGTCGGGGAAAGCTGGCCACTTGTGGCGCGCTGCAGTCGCCGCGGCTGCCGTGGGAGCCGGCGAGCCGTGCGGAAATTCTGGACGTTTGCACGCACGGGCGGCCGACGGCTGGCGGCGGCTGGAGCGCAATGGAATGGCCGAGGATGCGGTCGCACTGGAAATCCCCGGTGCTACACCATGAATCTTTTGAGCATCTGACAGGGCAAAGCCTGGAGATTACACGCCCTGGTGGATGTGGGAAAAGGAATGGGTGCTTTGCTGCGCTGTGTGGTTGGGAGAAGGGGAGGGAGATAGGTGCGTTTCTCCCCGGCACGCTGCGTCACCCGTCGGCCGTCTCATCGTGCGCCCCGTTTCCGGTCGGTGGCAGACGCGCAAACACCTGCGGCCCTCTCACAGGTGTTTATCGCGTTCAAACACACGTGTTGACAGTGGCATTACTCGCGGCTCGGCGCTACTGCCGCACTCGATGGCGCTCCACGCCGGCCGCCGCGCATCCAGCAGCGCTCCAAGGTCAGCGCTGCTGGCCCCGCAGCGGCGGCGGCGGCGACGTGGCCGCTGGAGCGTGCCACCGCAGCCGCTGCGGCCGCCAACGCCGGCTTCACTGCAGCCGGCGGCTAAGGTCGCCGAGCCCGCAGCCCGCACGTTATCGGCGGCAGTAAAGATTTGGGACCGATTGGGAGGCCGGTGCGTCGTGGCGTTGTGAGAAGTGAACAGTTGGCCGCCGCTTGGGCAAGTGTTCGCGCGCCACTGACGCCGACGCCGCCGGCACATGTGGGCCGCTGGCCGCCCGCCCGGCGAGGGGACGCTATCTGGGGCCGATCTCACACCGGGTTCCTATCGTTACCTGCGGATGACGCGGTGCTGGCGACCACCTTAGGGTGTTCCGTTGGAAAATGTCGTTGTGCGAGTGTCTGCGTGTTCTGTGCGGCGTTGAGATTGAGGCTCTGTTGAAATTCCGCTCCACAGTTTTGTCCACCAGCAGCAGCATAAAAATCAAAGGAAAAAATTGAAGACGAACGCGAGGCCATGCGTTAAGCTCAGAAAAGAAGGCTGGCATGTCATGTCTCAGCATCGCCGTTCAAATTTGCCTCACCTTGTTATTAACAACGTCTAGGACCAGGTAGATGAGCAGGACAATCTCTTCCTCGTCCGACCCGAGCAGTGGGCCGTCCTGGCCGGCGGTCACCGCATGGCATATCACTAGGTACACTGACATGGTCCCAGGTCAGGTCCGCACCACACACAGACACACACACGAGTGGAGTCGACCTGCCCACTGCCAGGCGGCCGGCCGGCCACGAACCCGCAGCCCGCACTCGCACCTGGCCCCGGTAGAACACCGCTCGCCATTGGTGCACACCTGGCTGTGCCGCTGTAACGCGCGCTTCTAGTGGCTGAGAGCATGCGGCTCGCGGGCCGATTGGCGGTTACCTGTTGGGAACGTGGCCCGGTCGAGACCTGTTGATTACGGTCGGTAATGGGTCCTCGAACAATTACGCGTGTGCAAGTGTTTCGGGTTTCTGACTCGCAACGGACGGCTGGCGCGGTGAGGGGGCAGTTCGTCTGCTGTTGGACAAAGTTATCCATGACCACGTGGCACACTCGCGGCCGCCATTTTGAATTAGTGCGATCCCTAAAAACCTGCTCGTGATACCAGAGCAGGTTTTCCGTGCCGCCGGGAACAAAACTAGTTTTCTCGCTTTGTGCCGGTAAAAAGCCGTACGGTTTCGGCCGGGAAAAGGCCGCACGGTGGACAGCGCCGCACGTCTGGCTTAGGTGACATGACTGAGAAATCCTATCAGGCTCCAGTCAGATCACCTCCACTACCAAGTGCATTAGAAAGAACGGATCATACACATACGCTTCCTGTTGAAAGTCCTCACGTCATGTTTTGTCTGTCTTTTTTGCCTTGGTGATCGTGCGGCTTAAGCTAGATACCAGAAAGGCGTACATTGCACATATTTCTCTGCATTTTTTCAGGCATAATGTATATAGATATAGATATAGATATAGATATAGATAGATAGAGAGAGAGAGAGAGAGGAGAGAGGAGAGAGGAGAGAGAGAGGAGAAGAGAAGAGAGAGACAGAGAGAAGAGAGAGAGAGAGAGAGAGAGAGAGATATATATATATATATCATATTATTTATTATATATATATATATTATATCATATTATATATATATATATGATATATATATATATATATATATATAGATATATATATATATATACTGTCCCTATATATATACATATTATATATATGTACATATTATATATATATATATATATATATATATATATATATATATATGGCGTGTGTGTGTGCGTGCGTGCGTGTGTACGTGCGTGCGGGGTGTGTTTGTGTGTGTGTGTGTGTGTGGTGGTGTGTGGTGGGGTGTGGTGTGTTGTGTGTGTGGTGTGTTGTGTGTGTGTGTTGTGTGTGTGGGTGGGGTGTTGGGTGGGTGGTGTTGTGGGTTGGGTGGGTGTGTGGGTGTGGGGTGTGGGTGTGTTGTGGGTGTGGGTGTGTGGGGTGTGGGGTGTGTGGTGGGTGGGTGCGTACATAAATAAGTTTGGTTGCACGTCACAGTATAATCAGCGCTTATGATAAATTTGATCGCCTTTCGCATCCACACGTTAAAATAGACTCTAGAGGCGGGCCAAGCGTCAAAATTTCTCCAAAATCCCGTGAATTTGAATAAAACTCGTGTGAAATCGTGAAACCTCCCTCTTGGCTCGAGAGAACCATGATCTGCATGGTTTTCCACATGACGATGATCCTGTCTGAGGATTCTGTGTCGTGCGCATGTCGTTTCCGGTGTGTCAATAAGGTCATCAGTTTGTGTTCTTTGGGCGATTCACTGTACCCTCCATAGTTTTCTCCAACGTGATTTTGCACCTCCCCTCATCTTCTAATATTTTGGACACCAAGGATTTAGAAAGCATTAACCGTCGCCCTGGTTCGCCGGTTTTCATAACGTGGACTGGTAAGGAGGGGTCAGTGATAGTGCGACCCCCCTAATGTTTTTAAAGTTTTAAAAATAAAGCTAGGCAAGCACATCCTTGGATTGGTCTCAACGAGTACTTGCGATTGGTGCTATCTTGTGTGCTGTCATGCTGATCGATCATTGAGACCATAGCCCTATGTCAAACTTAAAATTTCCCAAGAAACCGCAATTTTTCAGGTTTGCATCGTTTATAAAAGACCATACTTATTGGCGATACAAAACCTAAAAGACATGTTTCTTTTTCAATTCTGAGTGCGGTAGTGTATACCTTGCATGTGTTTTGTTTTGAGGATATATGCATGATATACAGCCCTGTTAATGGAGCAACGTAGGCCCGCCGCGCGCGTTCTGCGACATCGTCAGTTGCCTCCCGCCAGCCGTGCCAAACCGTAGGTCGCCGTGCAGTGTTTCTCAAAAACCACCGCTGCTCCAAAAACAGAAAAACTGGGAACACGTTTTTGGGTTCAAAGCACGGGCTATAGATGCCCCAGGCTAAATACAAAAAATTGGGCGCAACTGCAGAGTAGGCTGCAAAGTTATCCTAAAATATAGTGGATTGGGGAGCTACAGCGATCCCTATCAGGGCGAGGGTTAAAAATCGAAACTCAAAGAGAGCATTTTAAGAGGATGTTATTACGAATCAGAGCCGTACTTGCATAGCGGCTGTTAAAGTTCATGCCCCCTCAACCCTATCAACTTTTTTGCGTTCATTAATACGCGCATGATAAATGTCGGCGCCGCCAAATTCGTAGTAGACAGATGAAAATCACCATATTAAGAACTAGCAATGTTGATGCTGTAATCCGTAGAAAAAGCTTTTGAATTAAAATCCTCCCCTTCCCCACCACATCCAGCAGCGTGCTTGCTTGAACTTTTTTTTTGTTTTTCTGCATACACTTTTCATGTTTCTTATGATGACATTCATGTGATTTCTGAACTATAGTCTCTTGCTGTTGCATTGTTTCAGCATTTTTTTTCACTACTTAGCGACGTTCGAAATACTACAGACTGGAACTGATTGCGTTATGCGTTACGTCATATCGGTAAATAAAAGCAAGCCGATCACATTTTAGCCAAAAAGCGCCAAATTTACAAGCCGTCTACGTTTAGAAGACCCTTGAAATGTGCCGAGTTTTACTTCTGCGAGCTGATTCTTCACTCAAAATGCAGTATGTGCGGACTTGCTTTGACACGTGTGTGCACGTTGCTCGTAACGCCCTCCAGATATAATTGGCCTTTCGGGATTCCTATGGCGCCGGCCGGCCGGCTACACATGGCCTTCAGAGTCGGCAGTTTGGAGTCAGTGCTGACTTTACGCTATGACTTCGTGAGTGGAGGGTTCCCATTCTGACAATAATTAACCTTCAATTTACCTGGTGCTGCTGTTTAAACGTGCCATTAGTTAGGCCCGTATCAAGAAACCAATGGCTATCCTGGAAGAAGGCGGGAAACAGGAATATTATGCATTGTAGGAATGGTATCATCGTTAATCTTTTGGTGCATCACCATTTGGTTTTGATTTCCCAGACTGATTTAATGGATTTCATTTGATCGATAGTAGGATAATTTAGTTTAAATCGGATCAGTTTGCTGATGTCATGACTTAACGTGCATTAAGGAGAAGGAAAACAATAACAAGAGCAATGGGCCATGATAAGCTCGTTAGCACACTGCAACATTGCTGGTACATACATTTTCGAGCCCTTTTTGCAGCAAGCTTTATTCATTATAAACCGAACTACAAAAAATCGGAACTTGCCGCAAACACTGGTGACACAAAACACCGCAAACACGCATCTGGTGGTGGATCGACGCAGCCCGGTGTGTTATACAACTGCGCTCAGTGCTTGCGCGACGTAACCACAAATCATGCAACACATGTGACGTTGCCCTACGGATATGATCGCCAGCACTCGCCCATAATAATGCTGACGCTGGAAAAATCGCCGGCATGCGCTGCGCTGGGACCAAAGTCGCACCGCATCGCGCAGGGGCACGAAGGTAAGCAGGTGCTTACCTCCGGCTTGGCGAGATTCTGCGAGTTCTGCTGATCAACGCATCAAACACACTCTTTTGAAAACACAGCACTTGTATTAGTACTGTGTTTTCTAACATACCTAGGCTGTGGTTGTTCTGCACTAAATGTAATAAAATGAAATCAGGCTATATATGTTTCCGTGCATGTGGGGGTAGGGGATTTATATTCCCGTTCAGTGTCTTCTGGGTGCTTCCACGACCACTGCAGCTCGATGTCACTCCATGCGAAGCTGCCGTCGACGTGCAGCACACAATGATTTTCAGTGAATTAAACCATGATACAAAGTGAAGTTATCCGGCACGGTTAACGACAGAGTCTAACAGACTTAATATACCGGACATAATATGAATTACAGGTGCAAGCCAAGTCGAATCTGATCCAAGCACTGTCTGTTTTAAGGAATATGAAGGGAGTGAGACTAAAAAAACGATATACCCAGCAAGCATGCTCGTTCTCAAACCAACTCAACCAATCGATTTCTAAATTTTCAAAACATTATCCAGCATGAGGTGTGCATGGGTTGGCAATATGGTGACTTCAACTACGGCCAAAGTCCTTGAAATGAAAAGAAAATGCTATGCGCAAAAGCATGCAACTCAGATAAAAAATTATGGCACTCAGATCATCCTTTCAAAACCTTCCCCGTTTGATTCGCCATGGTTTAAATCCGCTTGCAGTTCCAGACCTGGTGATCTTTAATAGGGTTTAAGTCTTCAACCTTTCCACGTTTCAAATTTTTCCTTTTCTTGCAGAGAGCTAGTGTCTCAAAATCACACTTGTGTTCCACTCAAAAGTTTTGATCAGGACCGGCTCACATATTTTGGATTCCGATCCAGCTCGTTCCTCATAGCATTTAAAAATGGTCTGATTGATCTCAGTTTAGACACATTTCTTTGTTTTATATTATTTCGTTTTTTTTTCATAATCCACGCGCTTTCAAAATCAAAAATCGGTTCATTTTCAAAAAAAATGGCCGTTGCCTCATGAACTCATGAAAGGAAGGGCGCTGTAAACGATAAACTTGAAAGAGAGAGACAGGGCGAGAGAGAGAGAGAGAGAGAGAGGAGAGAGAGAGAGAGGAGATGAGAGAGATCTAGAGAGAGAGAGAGAGAGGAGAGAGAGAGAGAGAGAATAGAAGAGAGAGAGAGAAGAAGAGGAGAAGAGAGTAGAGAGAGGAAGAGATAGAGAGAGAGAGAGAGAGAGAGAGGAGAGAGAGATAG